GGCGGCTGCAGTTGCCCGGTCCTGACCAATGCACCTGCTGACGCACGCGCGCGCTGGCGCCGCCCGCGACGCCTCGGCTATTTTTAGAGTTTATATTTTTCCAAAGCTCATCCCGCACTGTACGCGAACGTTAAAGTGATAAGACACTCGCGTAGACATAGTGTATTAGCGTAAGTCCGAGGAACGCAAAATATTGTGTGTGACATGGTTTGCGTACCTACTTTTGTGTGAGCCATAATCCAATTGACTTGTTGGTGTTTGGATGTCACATACATTCCTCCTTGTAGGGTAACCAGCACCGTACGTACATGAAGGGCTTTGTGCTCGATGCACCCGACACGTGCATCTGCAACGGGTCGAAAACCTGCTTATAACCCGAAAGAAGATGATCACACTTTCTACTCGGTGTGCGCCAACTGGACTGCACGTGCCGAGGCGTAAGTCGGGCGTAAGCATCTCTCTCTCTCTCTCTCTCTCTCTCTCTCTCGCTCCCCTCCCTCTCTGTTATACACACAACGTTTGGGCATTGCACCCCCACATCCCGAGTGAGACAAACAATTTAAACCGATAGCCTGTAGCACTACACGTGCCTCTCTTTAGAAGTTCCCCGCTCCGGGCTGACGGGTGCTGGGTGCTGGGGCTGGGGGTTCCTGTGCGGAATGCGATAGTGACCGTCCCCAGTCTCTTGTACCGACTGTATCCCTTATCTTTCGTCGTTCTCTCTTCATTATACACCAAATGACGGCGGTGGCAGAGGCGCTTTGAAAAGACGAGTAGTGACTAATGTCTCGTTCGGAGTAATCATGTGTTTGTACACATTTGGCTGTTTTTTGGCCGCACGTGTGGTGACCGGGCCAGGCGGGCCGGCATGGCGGGCGGCGCGTGGCTGAGCGGGGCGCCGGGGCGGGGCCGGCGCCAGTACACAGCCAAGTGCGGCCGCACTCTGGGTTGAGGCGAGTGATTTTCAGCTCACGCGTACCAACTAGATGAGCTTATTTGAGGACCCGTGAGTACACTGACTTAATCGAGCGTAAGGAAAGTGTGCTCGAGATCGTTGGGAAAACACTCAGGTTCACCTTTCCAGAATAAAAAATTCCTGTTGGTATGGTTTCAAAACGATCTCGACCCGCGTTGAGTCAAAGGCTTGGGATCAACTTTATTCACCCATTCGGCGGGGAGGGGCGTCTGCCGCGCTCGTCTGCTGTGTTTTTCGAACGTTTAAGTACCTGGCATTTCCTTCACACTTATGTGGGTTACATGGGTTCCAACAATGAGAATTGTCACATTTGTCACTCAGCCTATTCAGTACGAAAAACCATTGAACACATTGTGATGACCAAATTCATGTGTTTGCAAATTACGTTCCTTATATTAGAGAGTTCAGTTAACTGTAAAACGCGTGGCCTCTTCCAAAATGACGCATTTATTTGACATCTCTAAGAGGATGCCAAATTTTAGCATTCAATTAGGCAAAAAAAAATGCACTCTTGAAAAAAAGGCCAACGTTTTGGCAATTTAAATGCCAGGTTTTGACTTTAAAAAATAATAGATTTTACAATGTTCGGTGTCACTTCAAAGAGTTTGAACAAATAAAACAAAACGTGAGCCTAAGGTACCACCACCTCGTAATCCTGTGCACGTATGTACGGATGGAAGTTTAATCCCTATGTGATCTGTGGAATTCTTAAACAAATTTTTAAAAAATATCACTTAATTTCACATAATTATAGAAATTTGACGTTTTTTGACGTTTTTTGAAATCTCTCACAATAAACATGTAATCGATGTAATCACGTTATTCTATGTACGTCCTCAATTGATGAGGTGGCCGTTTCGGCGTGAGCTCCCCAGGGAAGTCATTTTTGACATGAAGGACGTCATTTTGGCGTCAAAATGTGGCCAAATGATGTCAAAATGACGTCCTTGATGTCAAATGACTTTATTTTGACATTTTTCTGTTCACTGGGTCTTTGCGTTAACGCTCCACTAAACGCGTGATAAACACAAAACGAACAATATAAGAACAGTTTCTGTACGGAGTGGCGGAGTGGGTAATCGTTCGTTGCGTTAAGACATGGCATGGGACGGGTGAGATTTGTGGTGAGATTTTCAAGAGAAAAAACGCTGACGTAGTTGCGAGAATTCTCAAAATCATGATGAAAATCAAGGCAACTATTTGCTCCCATTTCATTTGTAAAGCAGAATACTGTACACTTCACTTTTCTTATGGCTTAGCAGTTATAACTCTGTTTTATAAAAACTGTTACAGTGTGTTGCTTTTTTCATACTTTCCTCTACATGTCGAAGATTGCACAGTATAGGCCGGGGCCTGGTCGTTGTCCAAATGGAGATCTTCTGAGTTGAGTTCCACCCGACAAAAGGTGAAGGTCGGCCGAGGCACAACACATCCGATTAGAGGTGTGCGTCTGAGCGGACTAGGGGACTGTGTAGCACCACTTACACTACGTGCCCCTCTTAAATTTCTTGACATTTATTTTATTGGTTTTGCAACATTGTGTTCACTTGACTACTAGCCTTGTGCGCTTACGCTAGAATGCCTCTCTGGCTCCCACACGGCACTGGATGGCCCGCCTATTATTTTATTAGAGAAGTAATACCCGTTTGAGGAGTATACAAGGACGGGACTTTACAGATCTCGCAAAACTAGAACGGACTGTTTCGGGATAAGGATTTTCTACGTCACTAGCTAAGAAACGAATTGCATCTTCATTGATACAAATTTATATTTGATTGACCCGATAGCAGCACAACACAGCACAACAACGAAATTTTGGTACCTCTGCTGCGTTAGTTGAGTTGGCATGGAGAATTAAATTGAACCTTAAAAATGGAGACAAATCAACCCAAATTAAATTCTGTTAGACTACATTTTCTGCATGAACAACTTATAGACATGAGCAAATTTAAATGTGTTTGTTTCTGCTGTTCGCTTCAACTTAACACCAGAGGAGTGCAAAAAATAATTTGGCTCAATAAGGCTCGATTTAATTTTCTATGCCAGCCCTGCCTTAAAGTTTGCATGTAGGGGGAAGGGCGCGGGCAAGGGAAGGCCAGGGGGGCGGAGG